TGTAGTGGGGTAGCCCATAAGGGGTACAACCCAATTAGGGTTGGGACTTGTACACAGATCTGTGTGCAATGCATTCATTCTCGTATAGTATTCAGACACTTGTAACCCTTACTTGTTAGAATAGTAGGCACAAGTAGGAGCCATAGTTAGATAAACCCTAGCTAGGCAAGAGAGAAATGAGCAAAGGAGCGGGTTTTCACTAGCTGCAGTTGGGATACATATAGCAAACCCTAACTGGGTTGTACCCGCTATAGAGCACCCCACTACAGGCTAGATAATAACATTCTGACATTACTTAGGATCAATCGGGGGTCTCCTGTTGACCTCTGACAACACTAACACTTTTCACTATTCGTAACAAGTTTGACACTTCGCCGGTCCAGAAAATGAACGCGCAGATATTTGATTCGGTGAATTTGCAACACCCATTATATCATTGGCGTGAAATCCACTATATGACGATACTGATAAGGTTATCTTAACAAAAATTCTTTAAAAATCAGGGCAGACCCGCAGCACGTGGCCTACAGAAAAGGTGATCAGGTTAGTTTACCCTCAGACGAAGGCTGTACGAATGCATTCCATTGGTAGATTGTGGCTTTTTTAATACATTACTCACACTGTTCTGGTCTATTATTAAGTCAACTACAGGCGAGTATTGAGTGGTAAGGTAGAGCTTGCTATTCGTCGCCGTCGCCTTCACTATTCCATCATCTTAGGGAGGATGCATCCGAATTTCGGTGAGGCAAGCCGATTAGCTTCCTCATTGGTCGTCAAGCTCCACGTGGCTACCCAACCTCGCGACCCGAGTCGTGGAATCGTGCAGAAAGCAATGTTCATGGTCGAATTCACGCGTGAATTTGCATCGCGACGCGACTCGGCGCGCATGTTTGCACAAGCAGTGTGGATGGAGTGAGAGTGAAGAGCACAGGTGAAACCAGCAGACATTTTTGCAGCAGGAACTTTCCCCTGTCATCAGCGTTCAGCTGGTAGACACACGCAGGACAGAGCTCTGCGTTAGACTGCACAGCACACCAACCCACATCAACCAAATCTTCAAAACAAGACGTCCTGTCAACCGACATCAAGTGAACTCTCACTTACCGTTTCCTCCCGTCCAGGCAAAAATAGAATTTGTCTTACCGCCAACTATTGTAGATTAGCTGGACATAATGGCGAGCAGGCTTGTGTAAGGTCGACTTTGCGTGAGATTCTTGTTGGCTTGGTCCTAGCACTGAGCATTCTACTCAATTAGCAGACTATCGCGCGTAGACGCGTCGCAAGCACCTGCCTGTCATCATGTCGAACAGCAGCGGGAGTGGCACGTGTGCAAACACGTGTTACATGAAAGCCACGTCAGACGGCGTCTGGACAGGCGAAAAGCCCATTGATTACGCTCTGCCGCTGCTAATCATCCAGCTATGCTTGATTGCCGTGTTTTCTCGCACCTTCGCCATCATTCTCAAGCCCCTGCGACAGCCGCGAGTGATCGCGGAGATGCTGGTAAGCACGTCCCATGACCCTGCAGCACAAGCGAATGCAAATGATGCAAGCGGATTCCTTCTCACTTCTCGTCCAACAGCATAAACGAGTCAATGAAGTTTGTTAAAGTTCTTCTGATGTTGTCGTATGCAGGGAGGTATCGTCCTTGGAAGTTCGTGTATGGGTTACATCCCAGGATTCACGGATGCCATATTTCCGAAAGACAGCCTCACGGTGCTGACAACGATTGCTAATGTTGGCCTGCTTTACTTCCTCTTCACCGTCGGCCTCGAGCTCGACATGCGCTCCATTGCCAAGACGGGCCGCACCGCCATGATTATCGCGGTGGTTGGCATCTGCGTGCCGTTCGCGCTGGGAATCGGCACGTCCTTCGCGCTGCGGCAGGTCCTCCAAGTGGACTCGGCGTTCGGGCCGTTCGTGGTGTTCATGGGCGTCGCCATGTCCATCACGGCCTTCCCCGTGCTCGCGCGAATCCTCGCGGAGCGCAAGATGCTCACCACGGACGTCGGCCAGATGGCCATGTCCGCTGCTGCCGTCGACGACATCACCGCATGGGTGCTCCTCGCTCTCGCCGTCGCGCTCTCCACGCCCGACGCGAGCCCGATTGTCGCGCTGTGGATTCTGCTGTGCGGAGTGGCGTTTGTGGTGGTGATGTTTGTGGCGGTGCGGCCCATGATGGCGTGGATAGCTCGCCGTGTGACCCCTGGCGAGCCAGTTCCGGAGTGGATAGTGGGAGTGGTGCTGGTGGGAGTGCTGCTGTGCGGGTTCGTGACGGACACCATCGGCATTCACGGCATCTTCGGCGCTTTCATCTTCGGCCTCGTGCTGCCCAAGGACGGCCCACTGCCGTCGCTGGTGATGGAGAAGATTGAGGACTTCACGTCCATCATCCTCCTCCCGCTCTACTTCGCCTCCAGTGGCCTCGCTGTCAAGTTCCAGTCCATCTCGGGTGCTGCAGCTGTCGGCATGATCTTCCTTGTCATTGGCACGGCGTGCGTGGGCAAAATTGGCGGCATCATGTCATCAGCAATGATTGCGGGACTCCCGATGCGCAAGTCGCTGGTGCTTGGTGTGCTGATGAACACCAAGGGGCTGGTGGAGCTCATTGTGCTCAACATCGGGCTCTCCAAGAAGGTGAGCATCTTGCAACATAAGAGTATGCGAGCATGGAACATTAACTAAAAGAGGACCAGTCTCCCAGATTCTTACCTTGAAGTCTGGGTGTTATTCGTCGTAACAATATATCGCTGTCAAGTTCCATCCATGATTGGAATTGGACGCGTTGTCATGTATGTTTCTAACCTACGTCCCCTGTTTCAGGTAATTACTCAGGAGATTTACTCCATCATGGTGATAATGGCGCTGGTGACGACGTTCATGACAACGCCGCTGGTGATGATGCTGTACAAGCCAGCACGCAGGAAGCTGCCGCACACAACCAAGGTGGAGGAGCTGGCGATGGTGAACGGGGAGCTGCGCCTGCTCGTATGCGTGCACGGCATGAAGAACCTGCCCGCCATGCTCAACCTCACCGAGGTGTCGCGCGGCACGCGCAAGCGGCCGCTGCGCGTGTTCCTGATGCATCTGATGGAGCTGTCGGAGCGGTCGTCCGCCATCATGATGGTCACGCGCGTGCGGCGCGACGGGCGGCCGTACTGGTCCAAGGAGAGCGAGCAGGCGGGCAGGGACCAGGTGGTGGTGGCCTTCCAGGCGTACTCGCAGCTGAGCCGCGTGAATGTGCAGCCGCTCACAGCCATCTCCAAGTTTGACAACATGCACGAGGACATCTGCATCACCGCAGCCGACAGACGCTCCAACCTCATCGTCGTGCCGTACCATAAGTTCATGGTAATTATGCCGAGCATTTCTCGGCTGTACAAATCTTGCCCTATCCGGCTGGTTCGTTTTTGTTCATGTTTGCGGTAAACTATGCCTGCCTGCATGTTCCAGCTTGCGTGTGTGCTCACTGATTCATGTTCTTGTTGCCTTGTGATGTGGTGTGGCATGGCAGACCCCAGACGGGTCGATGGAGGCGGTGCATCCAGGCTTCCAGATGGTGACGCGCCGTGTGCTGCGAGCCGCGCCGTGCTCCGTGGCCATCCTGGTGGACCGTGGCTTTGGCGGCTTCTCGCACCTCTCCCCCACCGCGGTCTCTTACCGCATTGCCGTGCTCTTCTTCGGCGGGCCGGACGACCGCGAGGCGCTGACAGTGGCGCGGCGCATGGAGGAGCACCCGGGAGTGTCCTTCTCTGTCGTGCGCTTCGTGGCCACGGAGGAGGTGGAGCTGGGCTTTGTGGTGGCGCAGCAGGAGCAGCACTCGCTGGTGCATGCAAGTGGGTCTGGGTCTGGGCACGGGCATGCGCACAAGGGAGGGGACAAGACGGTGTCGTTCCTGGTGCCCGTGGATAAGGTGGAGGTGGACCGCGAGAGGGAGCTGGACGATTCGGCTCTGGCGCCCATCATTGACAAGGCTCGCCAGGAGGAAGCACTCGCAGCCAAGGAGGCAGCAGCAGAGGCGAGTGTGGATGGTGAGGGAGGGGAGGGCGGAGTGGGGGCGAGTGGGAGTGTGCGGAAGCGGAGGATGGTGTACGAGGAGCGGCAGGTGGAGGATCCAGTGGCAGCGCTGACTGCAGCGAGTCTGGACGACTACGACCTCGTGATTGTTGGCCGCGGCCGCCGCTCCACGGCCTTGGTGGCGCAGATTGCAGCGCAGCGCACGCCCTTCCGCTCTTACTTCCACGGCCCAGCAGCCATGCACCTGGGCAGGTTCGGGCACAGTGGAGGTAGTTCGCACGAGGGGGGCTCGGAGCTAGGCCCGGTGGGAGACATGCTGGTGGAAATGGAAGGGAAAGCGTCCATCCTAGTGGTGCAGCAGCATGACCCCCACCTGATGAGGAGCTCCCACCAGGTGGCTGACATCAACATGCTCATGACCGTCTCACGTGATGCCCAGGACACTCCTGCTGCTGATGCTGTAAGAGAACAGCCGGTTGAAGCCAGGAGTGGGATTGAGGAGGTATGAGCAGTTGATTGTTTGGGGAGTTCGGTCTGACCAATCATGTTGCGTTCGGTAAATATGTACAGCCTAGTTTTGTACAGTGGGCAGGTTCTTGTTTATATGTAGTTCAAGCATGTGTATAGTTGTTATGCCTTGGTTTTGCAGACCTTGTGATTACCATAGGTCCTGCTTCGATACCATCGCTGTATTTGATTAGTGAGAGGCGTACACACCAGAAGTACTGTGCTACATCAATTGTGTTTACGCTTTCATCCTTTCCACTGACTTCAAAAGCAACTGTACCATACTTGCTGATGCGTGCTTCGCTGTGAGGGAATGATCCAGTATTGGAACGGGCGCATTCAATAACTTGTACATCCATCAAGTACAGACCATGAGAACAGCATGATGTACGGTACGGTATGTGCTGGTGATCACCAGTGAATCTTCCATGCACGGACTTGGAGTACCATGGCAGCTGATACACCAGCAGATGGCATCAGTGCACAAAGGCAAGGAGGTTGGTGAGGTAGGTGCTTTCAGGGCATGCGGGGTCGATGGGGTGGCATGGCGCGGCACCCGCCTCCCGCACCACCGTCACTTGCCGCCCCGCTGCTGCTGCCGCTTCCTGCACACAGGGTGGCGGGGAAGTGACAGACTGTGATAGAGGGAAAGGCTCCGACTAGGATGATCATAAGCCTGACAATAACCAGCACAGATCGCGGTGACCTGGCTGAGATTGGCAATGTAAGGAAGAGTGCGGGCGAGAAGCGGACGGGACCGGGACGATAGAGAAAGAATGTGCAGCACAAGCCAAGGTGGTATGGTTTGTGAAACAACCCCAAACCAAATGCACAGCAAGGAGCAGGAGAGAAGGGAGTGCAGGACAGAGAGTGTGGGCAGTGGGGAGAAGAGGGTACGTGATCGCACCCTGAGGATGCCCGGCAGCAGGTGCTGCTGTGAGACAGCACCGGAGCACGAGCACGTCATGAGCAGCCCTCCAGGGGCCACCAGGCGCAGCGCCAGGCTGTTGAGCCGCCGGTACCGGTGCAGCGCTCGGGGGAGGGACTGGTGGGAGGAGCGGGGAAAATTCAAGAGGCAGAGCAAAGCCAAGGAGGATTGCTGAAATGAAGAATCCCAAAGGATGGAAAGCAGGGAGCTAACGTGGCTGAGCTTGAAGGCTTAGGTCTAGCAGCCTCATTGACACGCTCACCCTCCAACCTAGCACCCGCACCACACCCAAAGGCCCACCTTGCGAGTGGGAGCAAGCTTGGGCGGGTCGAGGACGACAAGGTCCCAGTGCTGCTGCTGCGCCACAGCCCGCTGCATGAAGGCAGTGATGTCGGCATGCTCAAAGCGCACCGCGGAGGGCGGCAGGCCGTTGAGCGCCACGTTGGCTGCCGCCAGGGAGAGCGCCGCAGGGGAGGAGTCCACAGCTGGTGGCGGCGGGGAAAGGAAGGGAGAGGGGGAATTGTGCGCAGATGAGAGGCTTGGTTTGGGGGATGTGAACAGGTGAGCGTCGGTGAGCACAGGGAGCAAAGGCGAGCACAGGTGAGGTAGGTAGGATGCAGTGGGAAACTCATGTGGCAACATCGTTATGCATGGTATTAGCACGGCAGGTGCTGTCTGGTCCATGAGGAGTAACCCGCCTGTGCACACACCACATGGCCTGCCCACCTGTGACGTCAGCAGCACCGGCAAGAGCAGCATTGATGGCGAAGCCGCCGCTGTAGCAGCAGAGGTCAAGCACTCGGGAGAGAGGGCGGTGGGCGGACACAGGCGAACGTGAAAGTGGCAGCCTCGTAGTTAACACTGCTGAGGATGATTGTGATGACGTTGCTGCTGCTGCTGCTGATGATGGCAGGTCGTGAGTCTGCGTTTGACTGCTGCCGTCACCACCGCTGGCGGCAGTGACATCACGAGCATCAGTGTGTGCAGAGCTGCTTCCAGGGGGAAGCAGTGAGGAGGCGACGAGGGAGCGCAGCAGCAGGCGGCTGTCCCGCTGGTCCGAGTAAAAGCCCGTCTTCTGCCCGCTCGCCATGGCCACCCAGAACAGCACTCCATTCTCCATCACCTGCACATGGGAGGACGCAAGTTTACACAGGAGGCCTGGTGAGCTTGCCTCTGCCTTAGCAACCCGACTTGCACGTACATGACATGGCATGAGGTAAGTGGCAATACGGGAATGGAAAGTTACGGCGAACCTTTTATGAGGTGTCGTGTCAGCATACCTTCACCCTGTCACTATCAGAGGGAGCCTCGGACACGGCTTCTAAGAGTGGTGGTTGTGCTGGTAGGTCAGCTGCTATTGTTGCCGCTTCCTCCTGGTCAGCACCCGCTGCTAACGTTCCCCCTCTCTCCAACCTTTCTTCTTCGCCGCTATCGCTGCCATCAGCCATCTCATCCACCTCCTCCACCTCTGCACTTTCCAAACCTCCAAACGCCTCCCCATCTGCCAGCTTCTCCCCACCGTTCTCTGTCCTCCCGCCCCCCTCTCCCCCTTGCACCACCACTCCTTCCTCCTTGAGCATCTCAACAGACCGCCTCCAAACAATCCTCTCATGCCCCTCCGACTCACCAGGCCCTTGCCCCTCCTTCCCCACTCCCCCATCACCAACCCCGTCCACGCATCCCTGTGTGTGTGCGGCTGCAGCGGGCAGCAGGTGGGAGAGTGCGTGCACGATGGCAGGGCGGTGGGATTCCACCCACGCTGCAGACGACGCCACCACCATGCGCTCCCCGTACACGTCCACTATCAGCCCCGACAGCCTGCCCGCAGTTGGAAGCAGAGGGACGGAGAGAGGCGGGCAGGAGGAGGAAAATGAGAGGGGAAGGGACGGGCGAGGGGGAGCATTGAAAGGCAGTGAGACAGGATTGGGATGCGAGAAGTTGGGTTGCTAATGAAACCAGCTGCGAGCGGCAGACAAAGCAGCCTAAAGCGTGTCCACCACCCCGACCAAAGGTCCCTTTGCTCCTCTCCACACCAAGCCCCCCTCCCAACTCTGCCTCTGGGCTCTTCGCTCTCATGCCAATGCCCTCCAGTGTCCCACTCACCTGTCCCCTTCACTGTTCACGAGCCGGAACGCATTCGTGCCCCATCCTGTGGCCTCTACTGTAGCCCCTTGTGTGCTCCTTTCTGTGCTGTCCACACCCTGCGCGCTAGCTGTGATGCGCAAGCAACCAGCAGCACAGGGATGTTGAGTAGAAAGAGAAGATACTTTATAAAGCAGGAAGAGACGAGACAAGGGTGGTGGAGGAGAGCACATGGACGGAAGAAGCACGAACAGCAATTCACTCTGGCACTCGCCGTCCCTCTGATCCTCTTGCCCATTCTAAAACAGCGCATATCACACCACATCACATCCCCCTCCTCATCTGCGTACCACCAACCCCCCTGCCACCGCTCTTTGGCCGCTGCACCAATTAAATCCGTCTAGGTTCTAGTCAAATTAACTGCGGACCATGTCTCAATCTCACTACATTCGTTACACATCCTCCCAAAATCCCCTCATCAATCTTGTGACGCCCACACACCGGCGGCGGGGCATGGCAGGGGCGAGAGGCCGAGCAGCAGGCGCAGGTTGAGTGAGGAGGCGAGGCGCATGCGCAGCAGTGATGGCATGCTCAGGACGGCCTCTGGATGCCTGCAAGGGGGGAGGGGATGGGGACGGAAGGAGGAGAGGGCGGGGAAGAGGAAGGAAAACGGTGAGAAACGGGGCAGTGGGAAGTCAGGAAAAGGAAGGATTGGACTGGCTTTGATGCATTTCAAGCAAGGAGCCATTCCATGCCATGCCATGCCATGCCATGCCATGCCATGCCATGCCATTCCATGCCATGCCATGCCATACCATGCCATGCCATGCCATGCCATGCCATGCCATGCCATGCCATGCCATGCCATGCCATGCCATGGCACAGCAGGAGACATCAGCGCGTGAGCATGACCTGTGCGCGTCTGAGAGGGTCTGCATGATGCGCACGCGGTACATGGACGTGGGGTTGAACACCCCCCACGCCACCGCCGCTCCCCGCGACCACTCCCCCGACGCCCCTCCCCCTCCATCCGACCCTTCTTCGCCTCCCCCTTCCGCATCTCCCTCCCCCTTCGCCCCTGGGCGCGCCTGCTCCCCCCTGCGCGCGGCCAGCACCACGAGGTCGCCTGCCTTGGGGGGGGGCCGCCCCAGCACACAGTCCACAGCGCCTGAGAACACCAGGGGCGCGGGGCTTGCGGACGCGAACAGGGCTGCGCGTCCGCGCTTCAGAATCACGCGCGGAGGAGCTGCGGGAGGAGGGGGAAGTGGGGTCGTGGGGAGGGGAAACAGGAGGAAGGGAGAATGGGGGGGTGTAAGGGCAGAGGGGAGTGGTGAGACGTAAGGGCAGCGGATAAGAGCGCAAGCGGATGATGCGAATGAACGCAAGGCAATGAGCTTTATCCTGCCCCACGGAGCTAATCCTCCACTCTTGAACCGTAAAACCCAGAACCCTGCACCCGCAACCCTCAACCCCCGACCATTATCTCCACATGTTTCCCTTGCACCTCACGTTTTTCCATTGCTGCTGCAACCTCGTCAATGATGTTACCCCTGCTGCCCCTCCCGCTCCGCCCCTCCCCGCCCTCCCTCCGCGATTCATCAACATTATCTCTCGCCTCTCCCCTCACTTTCTCTCTGCCCATCTCCGCATCCCCCTCTGCTCCGCCTTCTTGTCCCCTCGCATGCCTGCCGGCCCCCTGCGGATACCTCTCCCGCGCGCTCTCTCGACCGACAGCCTCCCCGTCCCTATCGCCCACCTGCGCCTTTCCTTCCCCCCAACCTTCCCGCCTCCCCACTTCCCCCAGGTGCCCGCGCTACTGTCCATTCTCCCCCTGCCGCCGCGTTTCCCCCTCTTCTGGCTGCTTGCGCTTCCCTGTCTGCCGGCCATATCCTGGCGGCCCCCGCTGCCGCCGCGGGATGCATCTTCCCTGGGCTTGGAGCGCTTGCCGCCTCTGTCGCTCCGCTGGCTAACTCCGCCTCCCCTTTCCGCGCGCGTCGTCGCCCCTCCCTGACTTTCCCCTGACCATCCGCTGAAGGCGCGCTGCTTGGCGGAAATCCTCTGACCTCTCGAGAACACGTGGGGACCACGCGCGAGCCACGTGCCGACGACTCCGGCATGCGCGGTGGACATGTGGAAGGAATCAGAAAGTGCGATTCTCCGAACCCTTTCAAGGACGACACCCAGCGGCTTGTTCCGCGCGTTTGGCGGAGAGGGCGTGGCGAGGATGTGGAGCAGCCGTGCGGACGCTTGTGAGCGGGCAGGCGATCGGGCAGTCTGGAGGGACGTGGCGAGTCGGGCGTGCGCGCGATTGAAGGAACGGTGGACGGCTGCACGCGCTGCAGGGCAAGCCATGCGAAAAAAGACGACGCGTTGGGGAGATAAGAAATGACAGCTTTTTGTGTCTCCCTGGGTGCCACCACCACGCAGAGATTCAGAGCTGCTGGTACCGAACCTGTTACGCACAAATCGTTCTTAAACCCAGCGCACCGCACTAATCCCCCCTCCGCGCCACCTTAAATTTTTGCTGTGCATAGGGGACGATGAAAATGATCTCATCAGCAATTTAAATATAATTTTAAAGAGTAACTCAGTCATCAGCATGAACATGCAACTCGAAACACACTTCCAGATCTCATGCTCCTCGCTTAACGCGTACAGTTACTCCAAGGCACCACGTGTCCAAAGATCACTCTCTGCTGCCGTCATCGGCACCGCGCGCCATTTCGGCTGCGCTGAGTGCCTGGCAAGGTGAGACGAACTCTTTTCACCGCTATTGCTGCTCCGTCCATGCCCGCCCGCGCCCTCAGCAGCCAGTCGCACGCACCCCACTCGCCCTGCTACTGGAGCCACGCCCCTCCGCCACGCACCATGCATGTTGACGTGCGCCACTCTCGCCTTGCCCTCCCAGTCCGCCAGAGCCCTTCAACCGCGTACGCACAATGGTCCTGCGTCGCACCGTACACCCGCCCATCCGCGTCGCGCGCGATTTTAGTAACCTCGCCCCACCGGCATACCACGACGCTTCTTCCGACATGTCTGCCACGTCCAGCCCTCCGATCGAATCCGACGGCCCAGATTCCTTCTTCCAGGCGCAGTCTACAGCGACGTCCGTCGTAGATCCGCCCGTCCCAGCTGGCACGCCGCCGTTTGTAGCGCGGGTGGCGGCGGTGCCGTCTCCCGCGAGCAGCTCGGTGGCGGTGGAGGCGCCGCCGCGCCACACGTCGTCGAAGTACGACTTCGTCAAGGTACGACTCGCAGCGCCCGATGGGGAGTCGCGCGACCGGCGGACATGGGCGCCTGCAGAGAGCGCGGGGGCGTGAGGGGAATTCGAGGGGTCCTCTTCGCCCTTCGCCATTGGTGTCTTGCTCGTTTTTCCTTGGTCCTTCCCCTTCCTACCGGATTGGCCTGCGCGCGATAAAGAAAAAATATGTGTAGAGTTTCACAAAGCACCGCCGGCCCTGGCGTGCAGTGCGGTGCTTCTGAGTGGCGCGCGGAGATGCGCCCTCCGACTGCGCTGTAAGTTCTATCCCGCGCCTCCTGCCCTGCTTGCGCCTCCGCTTACTGCCCCTGCGCGTGCCCCCCTGCTGTGCCCGCCTGCCCTGTAGCTGTTCCTGGAGCAGGTGCGCGTGTGGCTGGGGGAGAACGACGATCACTACTACGTGCTGTCGAGATTCCTTATAGCGAGGATGCTCACCGTCACACGCATGCCGCATGTGGTGGCCACTAAGGTGCGTGAGTCGTTGAATCGTCTTGCTTGTGCGTCACTTCAAGCGATGTTCTGATTGTGCCGTGTTGTGCCGTGCGTTGGGACGTCTCGGCACTTGCAGTGCTGTATGCCGAATCCCCTGCATGAGCTCGCACCACCATGTAATGTTCTCAGTGCTCAACTGTATGCAACATGGCATGGCACGGCATGGCATGGCATGGCATGGCACGGCACGGTATGGCATGCCATGGCATGGCATGGCATGGCATGGCATGGCATGGAATGGCATGACACGGCACGGTATGGCATGGCATGGAATGGCACATGGCACGGTATGGTATGGCACGGCACGGCACATGTGATGGCATGGCATGGCACATGTGATGGCATGGCATGGCGGGCATGATCAGGTGGCGTTGGAGTTGAAGAAGCTGCTGGTGGACCACGGGCTGCTGGACGTCAGCCAGGGCGACCTCGAGCGCAACCTCTTTGCTCTCATGCGCCGCCGCGGCTATGGGGATGACTACGTGGGCCGCTACCGCATGATGACCAGGTCCCGCTCCACCTCTGCTGCTCTGCTGTGTGCGAGGCATTGTGGAGCATGCCCTTGTTCTCTGCTGACGTTGCGGCACCCGCATGCCACCCTTCACTCTCCACCCTCTACCTCTGACAGCATAACATATTTGAAGGGTTACATCGGCCATGTCATACCATTCCATGCCATGTCATGTCATGTCCGCTCTTGCAAGTTGCCTATGCCCTCCATCGGCATTCGCACATACACGCCTCCTCTTTTTCCTACGGTGCCCGCTCTCTCCCCGTGACCTCTCTGCCTCTTCTCTCCTTTCCCCTCACCCCTCTTCTATCTTCCACATCTCCACTTCTCGCCCGCGGTATGCTCCCCGTCCCCCCCAGCTTCTACCACCGGCGCATACCACTGGTGATATTCATAACGGGGCTGCCGTGCACGGGCAAGTCCACCGTGGCCTCACTGCTCGCGCAGCGCCTCAACCTCCCCAACGTCCTGCAGGTCGCTGCCCTGCCCAACACATCCTTATCCCTCCCCTCTGCCTTCCTGCTCGCTGCTTCCCCAACCTCCCTGTCACCCCTCTCTCAGCCTAGCTCTTAACCCCCTGCCTTCTCTCAGTCTGCCAACACATTCCTCCCTCCCACATCTTTTTCCCTCTCCCCCTTGCTCCGCTGGTCCCCTTCAACCCCTCGTGCGCCCTCCCCCCTCAGACGGACGTGGTGTACGAGTTGCTGCAGGGCATGCCGGAGTCGCCGCTGCATGCGGTGCCGCTGTGGGCGCGCACGGACCTGGGGGCGGGCGAGGAGGTGGTGGCGGAGTTCTGCCGCGAGTGCAAGATCATCCGCAAGGGTGCGCGCCCTGCATGGCTCTGCGCGAGTGTGCGCGGGTGTGCACGTGCGTGCATGGCTGCATTGGGTGTAAGGGCTGTGTCGGGGCATGTATGAGTCGGTGGGTGCAGTCCCACACCATGTGGTCCCGAATATGGCGGTTGCAATTGCTCATCCACGCACTCACGCACGTGCTTGCTCCAGCAACTTCTTCCGCATCCGCTCTCATCCGCATTTGGAAGTCCTTTCATTGTGTCTCCACGCCTTCTGCCCTCCCCCCTGCATCGTCTCACCATGTCCGGGGGCGTGGGCGGGCAGGGTTGGAGGGCGATTTGAGCAAGGCGCTGAGGGAGGGCAAGCCCGTGATTATTGAGGTCAGGCAGGGGCGCGGATGGGCTAGGCTGTATGCATGGCCGGCCCTGAGGATGATGCGAGCAGAACAGGAGTGGGAGTGAGGGCTGGGGAGAGAGTGAGGTAGAGGAGGGTGGAGTGGAATGCAGCACACACAGCAGGCAGAAGCTGCAGATTGAGTGATTGGAATGCAGTGCTTTCGTGCAAGTGCACTCTCTTTCGTCCCATTGGGCCTTTCATGCCATACCCTGTATTTCTCTCTCACTGCGCATCCATTCACCTTGTCGTCTGCTGCTCTGGACCATCAACTCGAAGCTCATCCCTCACGCCGCAACACTTCCCCCTTCCCTCCCCCTTCTCTCCGCTCGGTCCCAAACCCCCATTTCCCCCCCCCTCTCTCCACCATCTTCCACTTCGACGTGTGTGGCACGGCACGGCACGGCACGACACGGCACGACACGGCACGACACGGCACGACACGGCACGACACGGCACGACACGGCACGACACGGCACGGCACGACACGGCACGGCACGACACGGCACGGCACGGCACGACACGGCACGGCACGACACGACACGACACGACACGACACGACACGACACGACACGACACGACACGACACGACACGACACGACACGACACGGCACGGCACGACACGACACGACACGACACGGCACGACACGGCACGACACGACACGGCACGACACGGCACGGCACGACACGGCACGACGCGGCACGTTGTGGCAACGCGGCACCATCAGGGCACGCACATCGACCCCAACGCCAACTTCCTCGCCTTCACCGCTGCACCACCGCCCCTGCCAGCTCCCCTGCCCCCGCCGCCGCAAGCACAGCCCACCACGCCACCACCACAGTCAGGCGCCACTCCCTCTGCTGCTTGGGGGACGAGCAGCAGCGGTGGTGGCGCGGATGGTGGGAGGGGAGTGGCGATGGGGTGTGGCAGGGAAGCGGGCGCGGATGACCCTATGGAGGGAGGGCAGCGAGCAATGCGAGAGGGCGGATGGGCAGGGGGGAATGGGGGAACAGGGACGAGGGGAAGGGGGGGGAATGGCGATGGTGGAGGAGGGGCGGGGCAGGGATGAGCGTGGGGGAAGAGGGGATGGGGAGCGGGGACATGGTGGTTGTAAGATCGTGGGGGGGGAACTGGGGGAGGAAGGAGAGAGGGCACAGATTTCGGGCGCAAGGGAGAGTGGGTGGAAGCAGAGTGGTGCCTCATCAGGGGGTGCAGCAGCGGGTAAAGGCCCGTCGCATGCAGCAGAAGCAGAAGCAGCAGCGGCGTCAGGAGGGGCGAGCAAGAGGCTGCGCCCCATTGTTGTGCCCATCGTGCTGCACATGCACCCAGCAGACCACAAGGTGTGCTGCTCCTCGCACTCACTCACACCCCCGCCCACGCACTCACACTCTCAGCTGCCTCCTTGCTCTGCCTGCGTGCCCTTGTCTCTGCTTTGCTATTTGCCCCGCACCAACGTGTTCCTCCACAGCAAGGCCTGGCGGTTGGGCGCTGCTGTGGGCCCTTTTGATTCTCACCAATCCTGTGGGTACTCTTGTCAGCATTTCACATGCCCATGTGTGTGTGTGGGTCTATGTGTGTGCGGCACCCCCCCAGGTGCTTCTGTCCGAGTGGATTGCATCGAATGCACCCAATGCTGCCCTGCTCTCTCAGGTGACGCCTTTCTCTCGTCTCCCATCTCCCCACGCCCTTCATTCCAACACTCCCACCCCCCTGCTACTGTTCAATCCGCCAGTCCGGCTATCCCTGCCATGCACTGGCCTTCAAGCCTTCCTCCCCCTGTCGAGCCTGCCTTGCCTGCAGGTGCCCATGGAGGTGCTGTTGTCTCGCATGCACGCTGTACAGCGCTACCTGACCTCCTTCCGCTCTCAGGTACACCTTCGCTTAACCCCGCCCCGCACAGCACACTACACAGTTCATGTCATTTTCTTGTGCTGCCAACCCAACAAGCTTCCTGTCTCACTCTCCTCTCCTCGCGTGCTCTGTCTGCGTCCGTGCTGTCACTTGCACTGTACCCCCTGTGGCGTGTTCTGGCATGGCATGGCATGGCATGGCATGCCATGGCATGGCACTGCATGGCATGGCATGGCATGGCATATGGCATGGCAGGGAGTGCATGTGGCGGACATATCTTCCACCTCCTTCCCGCGCACCATAGACAACCTGCATGCGCACCTACTGGCGTGCATAGAGCAGCGCTGTTGGGAGGATGGCTGGGGCACACAGGAGGACGACCAGCAATGACTATTCACCATGCGGCAGGTGAACAGGGTAGAATATCAGTGCACCGTTCACTGATTCCCAAGTTGCTGTTTTGTTTATAAACTATTTCCAAGTTTCTATATCACAGCCAGTGTAAAGTTTTTGTTATAATGCTTACCTTCCCCTTTTTAACAGCTATGGTAACAGAACTCCGTTGTTTTTTAGTGCTATGAATCTAGGGTACATACGCATGGCTCAGAGCCTCCACTCTTTCCAGAGCTTTGGACAACTTGTACTCTATGTTGAAGAATTCGGCGATAATTGGCATGCGCAATAGACAAAAAAAAACTCACTGCATCTAGAGCTTGCTATGCTAAACCTACCGTATGTCCTAAGCATCCTCTTGTTGGCAGTGTGTGGCTTCGAGCTGTCTTCTAGCAGCCTCACACTGCCGCTGCAACTCCCTCTGCTGGCCTATCAGCTCCTCTACACGAGTTTCAGCCTCCTGTGCTTGCAGTAACAGTGCTGCGTTGGTGTCTCGAAGCTGTACAGCCTGCACGGAACAGGCAGCAGACAGAAAGCAAGCAATCATGAGACCAATATCGCAAGTGACAGAAGCAATGTTGTTGTTTCTGAAAGAGGGCAAAATGCACACATGCACATGCTATGCAGTGGCCTCACCTCTGCCTCCAGTCTCTCCATCTGCAGCTGGCGTCGTTGGCGGCTCTTGCGAGCCGACACTCTATTGGACTCCTTCCTCTTCACGTCCCTCTCATCATCCACCTTCTCACATGCTGTCCCCATCGCCCCTCCCACGCCTCTCTCTGCCAGTCCGTCTGCGGAGCAGCACAGTCCTGAAGCGTCTCGCCCATCGTCCGTGCCCGCCATGCCCACCATGCCAGTGGGGCCTGCTGCCTCTGCTCCCAGTGCGCCAGCCAGTCTCGCCTCCAGGCCACTGCTCGTGGCACAGGGGGCGACAACAGACACCTCGGGTGTGCTGCACGGGTCAGTGCCGGTGCTGGGCATGCCGGAAGGCAGCCGCATGGTGGGGTGCAGGGAGGAAGAGGAGGGTGGTGCCGGTGATGATGGAGACAGTGACACTTCCCACGGCGCGCCTGCAAGCGCGGATGGCGGACAGCAACTGCATTCCATGGGCGACGCATGCTGCTGCCACGGGAGCATCATGGGGTTACCAAGAGCGTCCATGCCCATGCCCATGGAACTGGACATACCCAAGTTCATCCCCATGCCCACGTGTTGCTCCATGCCCATACCCATTGGCATGTGCTGTTCCATGCACATGGGATTCCCAAGAGCGTCCATGCCCATGCCCATGCCCATGGGGAAGCGAGCAGAGTAAGGCGGTGCGGCGCCACACAGCATGTCCGCATGCTGGTGGCTGGAAGGGTGGTAGTGTCCAGCGGCAGTGGGCCAGGGACCGTCGGATCCAGGCGCCATGGCGCTGCTCGGGGTACATCCGGGGCACATGAGCATCGCGTCGCCCTGCGCCACTCCGTGCGCCGCCATTCCCACGCATCCCGCACAAACGGGCTCCGCAGCGCCATCAGGTGAGTGCGCGCAGGGCAGCGGGCCATGCGCCTTGGCCATGTGACCGTTGCAGTCCGCCGTGCAGTTCAGTCCACCGCCGCAGGCGCCGCCCGCCGGCGAGGCACAGTTCATCGCGCGGCCGGGCCACGACTGCATTTGGTGCGCTACGTCGTCCAGCGCCTCTCCGCCTCGGCGTGGGAGCGAGGCGCCGGAGGCGCACGCAAGCGCGGAGGGCGCGTCGGCGCACGGACTGCACGAGACGGCGTGCAGCGCGACAGGCACGTCGGAGAGTGTCGCGCATGACTGGGGGAGAGGCGGCTTGGCGGAGTGGTGCTGTGCGTGGGCGGGGAGAACCGCGGCCAGGCGATGCGCTAGCGATGAGGTCCCCGTCGCGTGATGCGCCGCCGCGGATGACGGACTCACTGACTCGCCCTTGCGCGGCCTGTGGAGACAGAGAAACAAGATTAGTACCCGGACGCAAATCTCAACCGTCGGCGACGCGTCATTACTCAGATCCACTCAAAGGACGTGGAGAGCGGCGGAAAGCGAGGGCGGAGAGTAAGGTGCGCGGCGGCGACACTCACTTTTTGGTGGGCGGCGCGGTCTTAAGGCCGATGACGCGCTTGATGTCCGCCAGCTTGAGCCCCATGGCCGGGAGGGGCGGGGGGTTGCACTGACGCTTTACGTGACTCCCGCCGGACTGTAGACGCGCGGCGGGCTGCGGGACGTGGTGGTTCGATCCGACGTGGACGGCGGCCGGCGCGCATTCTGTGGTGTGACGGGCGTCATCGCCGCCTACGACTACGAACTCCTGCTGCTGCACGGCGGCCGATAGCATCTCCAGCACGTGACTTGGCCTCGCCGCCTCGCCCGTGCTTCCTGCTTTGGCATCGCCGCCGCAGCCTTCGCACCGCGCGGCGTCGTTCAGCAGGTCCGATGACGAGCTGGAGAGCATCGAGCCGCAATCCGCGCGCAGTCCTGACGGCTCTACGCTACCCTTCACCGCAGCCTCCGCCTGGCTCTTCGCGACATTCGCGGTGTCGTCTTGTGCGCAGATGTGCGGCGCATTTGCCACGGGCAGTTTCTCTCCGCACACTCCCGCTGACTGGATTTCCGCGTCTGCGCCACTCCAGAGCTCCGTTGCATCTACGGGGCCTCCCTCTCCGCCGAAGCCATGGTCGCTGTGGCGGCCGCTGCTGTTGCTGCTCGTGCTGCTGCTCACGACAATGGTGCTGCTCGGAACTCCGCTGACGGCGCGCGATCCATCAGGGAGCAAACCATCAGATCTCCTACGCAACTTGGCTTGTGTCCAGTGTCTCAGTGCTGAAGGCGCGAAAAGCGGCGGAAACGAGCCCGTTAGGGCCGAGGATGGAGAAGCGGGGTACCACGTGGGGCACGATCCGTCCTTCCATGTGCTCGGCGACGGAGCGAGCAGCACAGCGGGCTTGGACCCGCTTTCATTGGCCATCATGTGCGACACGGGATCGTGGTAGTCCCCTGGCGACGCACAGCATGACGCCTTTAGGAGCATCATGTGGCTTTGCGGGAGGGCTGATACGTCCTGGGATTCCTCGGTTGGCGGGTCGTGCACCAGGGGGACATTCACAGGAATCATGGTGGTTGAGAGGTCCATGCTGCGTGGCACCATGGTGCATTCGTCCCACGGGTTTCCCAAAGAAATTCTCAGCAATGCAGTACAAGGAGGCACAAACAGGTTGCCAGACAGATCGGTGAAGAACGGGAAGTGATGAGCAATGGCAACGGGGACTTCATAAATCGAAATCGGCGAGGAAAGACGTGACTGGAAACAAAGTGCAGTGGTCCCCCCCTACACAAAATTAATCACAGTACAGTAATTAAACCCTATACACTACACCTACGGATTAAAATATGTTCACAGTGTGGTGCGTGTCTGTTTCTCCCACGAGCCTCATCTGTACAGTAATCCTTGTGGCCTTGTGGGTCAGGGTTGTACTTCTGCATTGTCTTGCCTCCACCCTCCAATCTGTCACGGGATCTGCTTCTGCCCGTGAAATGTAATAACAATATATATAACAAAATGGGCCAGGGACAATCCCTGGAACGCTGATACTACAGTAAACTGTCAAATCCTACATTGGGCTGGGAGGATTGGGTGTAAATGTTTCTGTTGGGACCCCGTTCTGGTGCAAGCATGGGTTGCTAGAAACGACAAGTATAACCTGGCACGAAAATCATGCGCAGGGCGTTTCTTGCCAGCCGACGTCAGCAGGCTGGCCGCGGATGTATCACACGGACGAAAGTAGAGACGAAACTTCCTTCAATCTGACGTACCTGCTCTCAGTGTTTAGTGGTAAGAAAATTTAAATGTTCAGAAATTGTTATTCTTTTAGCATAAACCCACTTAAAGCGTTGTAGTTTACTTAAGAACTCAAAAGGTACGACACTTGCCCAAAAAGGATGGGACCCATTTCGAGTGGATTCTAGGAAACCCCCTAGCCACTCTTTTTGCGTACTCATGACATCACCATCAGAATCAAACCTGCTCGATGACGCGTGCCGAATCATCGATGCATCGTAGGACGTTTCTGATTGGCTTGTCTCCAGCACATAGAACCGCAATTTACCTCCAGCACAGCGTGGATGTGTGGATATGTTTCACGCCGAGATCGGCTTCAATTGTAGCTGCTGAAAATCGATAGGGCCGACAAACACTGTGTGTCAACTGCCAGCCGTATTGGTCGGCATTCATAACGGGCGTGAAAAAACCCATGCAAACACTCTCAATTCAGGCGGATATGGAAATTGGAAATCTCAAGTCGCCTCGGAAAACTGATGTGTTGTCCCGAGTCTGGCAGTTCGAGTGCGTCTGCGTAAATGGGAGCCGGGTGAAATACCTGGAAACAAAAACCCAATACAGTGCAGTACAACACTTTGTGTCAGATCACGAAACCAATCAACCGTATCCATTGCCACAGTCCTGTCCTGTCATGTGACTTGTCCGACGTCCGCGGCCAGTGGACGCTGGGCACGTGGTTACACAGTTTGACACAATCGCCGATTCGTCGACAGCAAAAACAAAAAAATCCATGGCAATGAGGATGAGTAAATTTGCAGTGTCGGAAAGAAGCGCAGGACACCTTTTCAGCGTGGATAAGTATACACCTGACCACCACTATTTTCACGTCTGTGCCTTGCACTATGCCCCGTTTCGAAGATACCTCGCACGTTTTAGACTATTCCAGTTGGGCACTTGATTGATTTGGGCTATAAATCTCCCCGATACTCGATATTGGGAAACGCATCATGCGAAGAGACAATCACTACTTGTGTGAAGAGGTTGTTTTGTTGTTGCAAATTTCCTTCCGCCACTTGTACTGTTTTCGGGGATCTCGAACAGACTTTTTAGGGGTCTGGAACAGACTTTATTTGAGATCAATGTGAAAATTTAAAGACGACCAGTCAAAGATTTTAGATAAGGTGCATACCCACGTGTGCAAGTGGGGTTGAAAATGAACCAATAGAAATTATCGGTGGTTAGGTGTATCATTGATGAATATTGTCATCTTGTTTTATGGCCCAGTCAAGTAGGATGGAACTTTCAAAGGATAAGGTTACGGAGTCAAACCCCAGTACGGAAGAGTGTTGCCAGCCCTCGAAGAGGAAATTTCGCACTACTCATCTGGGAGTGGATAGTTCTCACCTCGGTACCCAGAGAGGCGTATAAACAAGTGGGTAGGCAGATTACGGTCGGCAGTCGAGGTGATACCAAGCAGGGTTTCCCCTATAACCTTTACCTTTACTCTCATCTTGTCTTATGAAAAACGGTTTCATTCTTTATATTGATTCAACATATTACAGTCTAGACCGTAGACTGGCAACAAACTCATACACATCTGGGAGGGTATGCATTCTGTGGACAACATTCCTGTATTATAACCTAGTTCAATGTACATATAATTAGTTATTTTTGAAATAATTAATTCTTCAATTTATTATTATTTTTGAATGACCATTGGTGTTGTATTTCATAAGGTAATTGAACTATGCCCTTAGGATAAAAAACATATTAACTATATAGAAAAAAACGAGGGTGACTATCATACTTCCTAAAGAGCCATAACTTATGTTTAATTGGTTATAGTAAGCAAGGTAAGTTGATAATATATATCCACTTAATCTCCCAAGGCTGAAAAAGGCTCTTGATATAACCTATGGAAATAAACTACTGCGAAATTTTATGGTCGACAGGGTTACGAAAGGCAAGGCGTTATTGTATTCGCCTGACATTCGACAATCTCAAGTTTTGTGGCCTCTTACAACAAAAGGGCATTTAGGTCGATTGATTCTAGAGAGGTTCAGGCGCCCTATCCGCGCTGCGCGGCCGACAGAATTGAGTTAGATTATGAACAGTCACGTTGCGCAATTTTATCAAAGTGAACCACAAACACCATGCGGCAAGGTTGATGTCACCGTGCTTGCATGCCTTATTGAAATATATTTATGCCAGTTCATGTAAGTTGGACAATGGCATCTTTCATATGAGTAAGGAGAGGAGGGGAGAGAGGGGGGGGGGGGGGGGAAGAGGGGGGTGGGATGAGAAACGAATGGAAAATGTGTAACTTTTATGTTTCAAACCGGATGGGAATCAGTCAGGATCTTGTTTGAGGTAAATCACATATAGGTGGTGCACAGCGGAGGCGCTAACTATTGACACCTGAGAGAATTGATTGCAAGAAAGAGATACGTTCATTTAACAAAAAAATAATACAGGGTTTTCAAAAGGCCCCAATACCTTAATGCACAGGAACCTTTTGAACCTATTGCTACAATTTTCCTTTAAAATCTTTTTGCATGGACTCGTTTTTTATCATAACCGTCTTCGACCTTTTGCTTCACCGCGTTCATTTGTCTTTGTGTTCGGTAGGGTTTGACCCTGTTACGTCATAGCCCGCGGCCCAAGTTACGAACCGCGCGCTGTCAGAATATTATGCTCTAGCCTGTAGTGGGGTGCTCTGTAGCGAGTACAACCCTTCTAGGGTTTGCTATTTGTATCCCCATTCTTGCTAGTGCAACCCTCCTCTTTCGCCTAAACTCTCTTGCTTAGCTAGTGTCAGAATCCCAGTCACTAACCACTGGGATAAAAGGGCTTGTTTATATAGCGGGTGAGTGCGCCCATAACCCCCCAGGCCGACGTGCCTGTAACCCTTCCCTAGGATCATCGGGGATCTCCAGTGGACCTCTGACACCCCCCCGCACTGGGATGCCCGAAGTGCACACACCGGGAATCGAATTCGAGACCTTCGCTCTGATAACATGTCAGAATCCCAGCCACTAACCACTGGGATAAAAGGGCTTGTTTATATAGCGGGTGAGTGCGCCCATAACCCCCCAGGCCGACGTGCCTGTAACCCTTCCCTAGGATCATCGGGGATCTCCAGTGGACCTCTGACAGCTAGGACTCTCCTAGCTATGGCTCCTAAGACTATGGGTTATCTTGACATGGTATCGTGAGGCGGTACATTCCTTGATCGTATGGGAGTTGTTTGAAGCTGATGCGTGCCTGGCGCAGCCCGTACGGGCCGCGCGCCGGGTGTACGGGCCGCGCGCAGGCCACGACGGGCGACGGGGGGCGACGCGCGGGTCCCCGTCGCCCGTCGCAGCGCCTCCCGGGGGCGACGTGCCGAGTGACGGGGCAGGAACCCGTCGCGCGCCTCGGGGCACACGGCGGGCAGAGAACCGCCGCGCGCCTCGGGGCGCACGGCGGGCAGAAAACCGCCGCGCGCCTCGGGGCGCACGGCGGGCTGAAAACCCTAGTTTCGACGCCGCGCACCACGGGGCGCGCGGCGGACAGGGAGTAGCAGTAGCAGCGGAAGCAGTGAAGTGGGCCCACAGGCCAGGAACGTTAAGCTCTGATGCCATGTTGAGATAAGCGGTAGTCTTAGGAGCCATAGCTAGGAGAGTCCTAGCTAGGCAAGAGAGTTTAGGCGAAAGAGAGGGGTTGCACTAGCAAGAATGGGGATACAAATAGCAAACCCTAGAAGGGTTGTACTCGCTACAGAGCACCCCACTACAGGCTAGAGCATAATATTCTGACACAACCCTCCTCTTTCGCCTAAACTCTCTTGCCTAGCTAGGACTCTCCTAGCTATGGCTCCTAAGACTACCGGTTATCTTGACACGCGCGTCAAGTTTAGCAAGCTTGATCAAAACCGTTTTGTGTGGCTTGCTGGTTGGCGAAAAGAGGTGACTAGTTGCGCAGAGTATCCTGATTGGTCGAAAGTAGAAAATCAGGCCATGACAGGTTATTTGAAAAAAAAAAAAAAATGGGGGTTGCATCTTGGAACTTTCAAGCACAACACGGAGAAACACACTCGAGCTAGCTGAATCAGCAAAAGCCAACATCAAAGCGAGAGGTTTTTCAAACACAACCACTCGTCGCAACTTCACTTAGAACGCCAACCTCGTACGTGCCGCGAGATTTGCTACCGCAGGGTCCATTGGAGCCTATCGCAGGTGGTGCCTGGTTCGTGAGGGGCATCTAGTGGGAAAACG